AGATAGAAAGGTTTAATGCCATACTGTGAAACATCCAGACAAAGCAAAAACACAAAGAAAAGCATTGGACAGACCCTCCACAATGCACATTTTAATAATGAAAAAAAACATGAATTTATTTCTATTATCACGCCGTTTTAGATCAATATTGCCCTTTACCATGAACAAAGTGTAAAATAATTATCTAAAAATATCACGTTTTAATTCTAAATACCTGAAAAAGAAGCATACATCTTCTTTAAACCCACATTGACATTGCCAGGAGTTGTTTTTTTTGAAACATCTGTGTGAGAATAGCATCTGCGCCGACCACAGCGGGACTTCCACACTCCAACTCATTTCAGCGGTAGACAATATAATACATGATTTCACTCTAATACAAAAATATCTTTATAAAGTACATTTGTTATTATAATGTGCTGGAGGTGACTCTGTGGGAGGCCCAGAGTAGAGGGACCCCTGGTGGTTCACAAGCACAGGCTGAGGATGCATGGGAGCATTTCAGACTTAATATATGGACTAGTATTTACAAGTATTTAAAGGTGAGAACAGAACATTTTGAGCTTTGGAGATATAGAAAGACTAATAATAAACGGTTATTCAAATGTGTGAAATTGCCTGACCAGCCAGTTCCTTCTGCATTCTGCTTGAATTCAAGGGCGCAGGTTTGCACAGAGATGGTGGGGACATGTCACAACAAATATTTGGGGAAGACGAAATAGTCCCTACCAATATTTGCCATTTAATTTTAATTTAAAAATGCATATATTTATTCAGATATTTTTCCAAACTCAATAGTATTACTGTATTTTACGGGATATTGGGCGCGCTCTTAAGCCTCCAACCCCATCAAAAAAACTACAAAGCCGCACCACCCGCAGCGCATGCAAAACACGCTCGGCGCAGACAGCGACCGTACAGCGAAAAAGACCCGCAGCCACACTCATCACTCCACGCCGACGAGGAACGGAACGGAGGAACGAACTGAAAAAAAGCGAGTGCAATGTGCCACTTCTAGACACGACTGAACAACTGAGTCACTGCGAACACGCCGACAATCCAGCGGTCCCAGACAGCACCCTCCCTACACGCCACAACTGAACAAAGCCCAGAGTCACCGAGAACGCCACAAACAAAGTCCCACTGACCCATCCAACTGTTGTGTTTCGTTTAAAGTCCGGTGCTGTTTATTTGTGAAAAAAGTTCGAAAAAAGACCATTTAATGACAGTGCGCCTTATAATCCATAGTGCCTAATAGTGGAATAGTAGAAGTTGTCATCGCATGTTTCCAAACGTCTTCCTGGTTTGTGACGTAAGCATGAATAGCCTTTTCTTGTAACATTCAAAATAAACTATATACTGTATTTTCCGGGCTATTAGGAGCTCTGGATTATAAGACTCACTGTCATTAAATGGTCTATTTTCAAACTTTTTTCACAAATAAACAGCACCGGACTATAAACGAAACTCAACAGTTGGATGGGTGAGTGGTTTTGTTTGTTTGTGGCGTTCACGGTGACTCTGGGCTTTGTTCAGTTGTGGCGTGTAGGGAGGGTGCTGTCTGGGACCGCTGGATTGTCGGCGTGTTCGCAGTGACTCAGTTGTTCAGTTGTGTCTAGAAGTGGCACATTGCACTCGCTTTTTCGGTTCGTTCCTCCGTTCCGTTCCTCGTCGGCGTGGAGTGATGAGTGTGTCTGTGGGTGTGTTTTGCTGCGCAATCGCTGTCTGCTCTGTGTGTGTTTGCGTGCGCTGCGGGTGATGCGGCTTTGTAGTTTACTGAAGTCGTGCTGGGACACCAGAGTGGATTTGTGCATAGGGCGTGCTGGACTGTGGCCCGCAGTTGTTTTTTGATGGGGTTGGAGCCTTAAGAGTGCGTCTAATAGCCCGGAAAATACAGTAACTTCTTTTACCTGAGATAAATCAGAGTTTGGTGTTGATTCGGCAAAAATCCACGCTTTTTCTCAGTCCTTTATGTCTTTTTTTTCTTTCTTTACGTGTCTTTTTGCATGTAAGCAGCCAGATTTGTTTATGACGTGAATTGAGCATGCGTCTCTCTGATTGGCTAATCCATCTGTCAATCATGCCCTCTGAAATTAGGTCCAGATCCACTCGTTTTTGTAAAGTTTTGTCAAAGCGCGTGGTTTTGGCTGGTTAGGTAAACAAAACACAACTCCAGACAAGGTTAAAACTTTCTAACATGGCTTCAAGCGAGACACGTGAGTCAGTTTTGCATAACAGAAGATCTTTAACAATGTATTCCCTGTAATGAGGTGTTATTTTGCATGTTCTAATCCGAGGCCTGATGAAAAATGCATAGTGTGGCTGTGGACTGACTGCTCATGGTGTATTTGGCTGTTGTAGGACAGAGTGTGGGCCAGTGTAGCCAAATGTCTCAACTGTGTGATTGCCATGGTGGACAAGCTCCAGGAAGAGGAGAAGAACAAGCAGGACTCGACCCCAGAGAAACAGCTCGCAGACGTCATCACATCACACAACCCTGGTAAAAAAACACACACAAACGCACATAAACATACATAAACACACTGCTACATGTGCCTATGACTTGTTGGACTGTTCACTTTATTAAAACACAGTTAAGATACTCGAAAAATATATATATATAATTAAATTTGAGCAATTTTTTAGCTTTCAAATTTTACTTTACACTAGGGAATTCCATTAACTAGTAACTATAAGTCCAAAACTCATCTATTGTACACAGAGATTTTATTATTTGACAAATTAAAATACAAGAAAACACCTTTATTTTGTTGAAATCATGCTTATAATATTGGAAAAAATGTGTTCTTGTGCTGAACTTTTGGACAGAATTCTCCGTAGCCTGACGTCAGACAGTCACAGAACTCTCTACGTCCTGTAATTTTCAACAAGTTTCTCAACTTTTCTTCACAAATGGCTTCTTGATTAGTGTAAAACTATACTTTATGTTTACAGCAGGTATTATAGCACCAACTTGAGTCAAAATTTGAGAAACATCAAAACCTGTCATACCCATGACCGATGAGAAAAAAAGAAAAGTAGCTTCAAAACCGACACATTTGCAACGCTCACCGCTCACACAGGGAACTCTAAGATCATAAATCGTCACAAATAAGTGTCCTTTTAATCAAAACAATCGTCTGTAAAAATCCATAATCCAGCATGTTGACAGCGGCTGCGTGTGTGTTTTCTCTTCTCCTCTTTCACACTTTGATAAAAACATGCAGTAGTTTTGTTTCTGGCCTAAACTGCACTGAAGTTCACTTTTATTTACAGTCAGTATCATGGATGAGACACAAGAGCGTTTAAAGCAGCGCCTCAGTGTTGTGCGTGTGGATCTATGCCTGTGCACGAGTGTAAACAAGCGCACGTGAGTGACGTGACTCCAGAGGTGCGTTCAGGAGCAGGGGGTGAAGCAGGTCTGACAGGTCACCTACAGCTTTCAAAATTATCGGATTTGTTGGCGATTTTTACCTATTTTTAGATCATAAACTTTTTCTCGCTCAAAATCCTTGAGTTGTCTTAAAAAAACGCTTTATAATCGTTAGCTTCGGCTACGCACTGCTCCGCTCTAGTTCCTCTCGCTCTGATTGGTCAAAGCGATCACATGATACACGAGCCCGCGCTCCGTGCGTGTGGTCGCATGCATTCGCGTGTGCCGTGGGAGAAAAGAGCACTACTGCGCATGCTCAGTCGGCCCACGGCCACCGGAAGTACCTAGCCATGCTAGGCTAAGCTGGGATCATGCGCCATTAAGCTCAGCCCATTGGCTTGAATGGACGGCCATTTTGGAACCTGGGGGCTTGCTTCAGAGCTCCTCTGAATGGCTAGTCCAGATTACCCAGCATGCATCTGCTCCACCCATTCAACCCTGAGTGAGGACATTGTGCCTCAGCAGACCTTTATCACAGAGAAGCAGACACAGGTATCTTTGTGTTAGCACGCTAACACATATAATAAAATTGGAACGATACAGAGAAGATTAGCATGGCCCCTGGCGCAAGGATGACACGCACAATCGTGAAGCGTTCCTCATTTTCATTTTTAAAAAAACAACTGTTTTTAAAAGTTTTAATGTCCAAGGATTGAAGTGTTTCCCCTTGGTTTTCTGGTTTTGCCCAGCACACATGCAAACACATACTCGTGCATGTTTAAGAAAAATATTCACTGAAAATGAATTACCATGTATCTTGCTGTTATATTTAAATTGTTTGTAATTGATATTGTTTAAAATAATGAAATGTCTGTAAAACACCTTCAGAAGTTTGGGTATTTTAATTAAATGAGCTCAAATTTAAAGAGACAGTTCAGAATTTTGGACATAGGACCTCATTTCCTAGTGAGTCAGAGTGTTGGAGACGTGTGGAGACACTTTTTTAAATATTCCATCCAGTCCTTGTATTTGCAGAGGTCACTTGGTGCTAGACTAGTACGTCAATGGTCATAGTTATCCTGCCACTAAAAACAGTCTTACCCACTCCACAAAACACCCAAAGTAAATAAATCTATTATTACACCAGACTGTCTAAGAGAATGTAAAGTGTTGATAGAATAATTTTAGAAGTAAAACTGGAGGTTGAAGTACTTACTTGTAGTAGCAGCTGTAGTAGTAGTAGTTATATTACTGGACCTGCAGTTAGAACACAGTGAGGCTCATTAAAAACATTTTTGTTTGCTTGTTTGTTTGTGTTTGTGTGTTACATTTGATGGACATAAAACAGTTTCCATACAAATTCTCATAAAATTAATGAGCCCCAACAAATAGCAAAGCCAGTTTTGGAACAGGAAGGTGTGTGTATATGCGTGTGTCTCTGTGTGTGTGTGTGTGTGTGTCTGTGTGTGTGTCTCGTGTGTGTGTGTGTGTGTCTCTGTGTGTGTGTCTCTGTGTATATGCGTGTGTCTGTGTCTGTGTGTGTGTGTGTGTGTGTGTCTCTGTGTGTGTGTGTCTCTGTGTGTGTGTCTCTGTGTATATGCGTGTGTCTGTGTCTGTGTGTGTGTGTGTGTGTGTGTGTGTGTGTGTGTGTGTGTGTGTGTGTGTGTGTGTGTGTGTGTGTCTGTGTGCGCGCGGCCCGCTCGCGGCCCGATTACAGCGTCGCTAGCCGCGCAGTTAGCATAAAGTAGCAGCACTCGCTAGCGCTGTTATGAGCGCGCTAAAACAGTTTATCGCCGTGCAATATTATAATTTATGATGCGAAATAAATATTTGTGATTGTGCTACGTTTTACCCGATCGATAAAATTCGCCTGGCCTCCGGTAGAAAGTTGATGCAAATGAGCCAGCGGCTCTCAGCGGCAATTTAGGCTGAGAGATACGTCATCGACAAATTCGCTCATTTCATTGGTCATCTTCTCGATGTCGTCATCAACAACTTGCGGTCTCATTGGAAGCTGTTGATGTCGACATCGAGAATGCCGTGCTACCATTGGTCGGCATATAGAGAAGGTTCTCCTGCAGAGATGACACGCACAATCGTGAAGCGTTCCTCATTTTCATTAAAAAAAAAAAAAACAACAACTGTTTTTAAAAGTTTTAATGTCCAAGGATTGAAGTGTTTCCCTTGGTTTTCTGGTTTTGCCCAGCACACATGCAAACACATACTCGTGCATGTTAAAGAAAAATATTCACTGAAAATGAATTACCATGTATCTTGCTGTTATATTTAAATTGTTTGTAATTGATATTGTTTAAAATAATGAAATGTCTGTAAAACACCTTCAGAAGTTTGGGTATTTTAATTAAATGAGCTCAAATTTAAAGAGACAGTTCAGAATTTTGGACATATGGCCTCATTTCCTAGTGAGTCAGAGTGTTGGAGACGTGTGGAGACACTTTTTATTAAATATTCCATCCAGTTGTTGTATTTGCAGAGGTCACTGGGGCTAGACTAGTGCATGTCAATGGTCACAGTTATCCTGTCACTAAAAACAGTCTTACCCACTCCACAAAACACCCGAGGCGAATCAAACACCGAGGAAATGAGGCTCTGTCCAAAATTCTGAATTGTCTCTTTAATTTCACATTAAGGCCTTAATCATTTGCACTAATGAAATCTGAAGTTATCGCCCAATACATTTATTTATGGTGTGAATAAAAGCAGGACAAGCCAAAATCAGAACAACAGTCACAAGAGCAGATCTCACTTTTCATCCTGTCACTGCTTTATAACCCATGTACAGCGCACACATTTACACAGTGTCACAAAATGACACCGTTTCCTTTGTCGTTTCTTTCTATACAAAATACTTCCATCAGAGCTCAGTAGCACTCGTCTGTAAGACCAACACAGATTACCCAGCATGCATCTGTCTGGTTGACTGAACTCTGACTAAGGCAACTGTGCCTCGACAGCTCTTTATAAGACAGACATCAAATTTGCAATACATTTCTTCTTATCATTTATACATTAAATGCATATGAGTCATTAAGACGTATCCCACTCACTAATGTAAGTTTAGCATCATAATTTATTTTATCACCCGGAGATAAACTGTTTTAGTGCTGACAACAGCGCCAGCTAGTGTTGCAACTTCATGTGAACCGCACAGACAGCGGCGCTTTCTGCACTCAGGCTGCACGTGCACAAACAAATAATCCATCTATATATTGACCGCATAATTGTGAAAGACGCAGGTTTTAAAGTGTGAGAAAAAAGTAGAGGAAATTACAGCATATCTCAACTAGGGGTGGGCGATATCTTGATATTTTAAATATATCTCGATATTTTTTTAAATCAATATGGATTCTGACACATCGTATATATCGATATAATGCTTATATTCAATTCTAATTTCGCCGCTTCGCATGTTTACCTTCTCTGTCGTCGCCCCTGCCCCCTTATTTTTCTCGCTTGTGTCTCATTCACTCCTCACTACCGAAAAGTGTTGAATGCCCAAAGTTGGGGCCAGTGAAAAGCTTCTAGCACCACGAAACTTTTCCACCATTTACAGACAAGACCATCAACAGCACAACCTCTGTCACAGAGAGAACACTTATATTCCACTGAGTCGTGTCCTTTAGTCCGAAAGAAGTTGAACTCATTAGTGGCACAAGCAGCACGCTGTTTATGCAATTTAGCCATGCACTTTTAACTTTCGTTTCGTAAACATAAACACACGTGCGCAAAACTGCATTAAACACATTATGATCTCAAACGGGCTGATGTGACTCTAGAGTCGTTATGATTTAAATGTTGTAAAGTTTAGTAATGTAAAGTTTATTTATGCAGAAGATTTTAATGAATAATCTGCTGAAGTGTAACTTGTACAAAAGTGTTTGGAAACGTTGGGTTTGATCTGCAGTGGATTGTGGGAAACCTCAGAGCTCCTTACGCTGGTGAGGAACATGGATCTGTTAAAATAAAGAACCTCCTGATCTTCCTCTGCTGAAGGAGCTCAAGGTGATTGTACGGTTAACAGAGTTAATGCAAAGATGAGCTTGAGTAGAGTTGTTTTATTTATGAATGAAAAGAAAGAAATATGTATTATTTCTTTTATTTTACAG